AAGCAGGACACACCCTTATCCAAGAAAGAATCTAGTACAACTGTTGGAAAAAACAGAAGCTTCAATCTGATATCTCCCAGAGGCTTGCGGCCTTTCAGATGAAGAAGACCAAAATGGGATCAAGCATGAACTTGTTAAAACCTTCAGACATGATTTCAATGCAGTCAAGGCCTGACAAATAGAAAAATTAAACAGAAGGTGACGTACAAGATCCCCCCCCCTCCCAGTGAAGGCAGTAATCAATATCAGTCAACACCAGCTGTGCCTCTGGGGAGTCATTACTAAACAAGAGTTTCAACTTTGCCACAACTATCAAGCAAATACCATATTTTGACATCATTGCCTAAATCAAGGAATTAGCTTTGAATATCCCTCAGGCTCAGGCAGATGAGCTAAGTTGGAAAATGAGACAGATACTGGAGAAAGCCAAGCTGCCAAATCAAACCTCATAAAACTGGAGAGGCTGGCAATCAGAACCCTACAGAGGAATGAAAGCATCATACTACCAGCTGACAAAGGCAATGTGACTGTAGTAATGGACAAATTTAAATATTCAGAAAAACTGGATGACATCATTAGAAATGGTAGCTACAGTAAAAGTAATTAAGATCCAATGATGAAAACTGAATAAAAACTGTTGCAAATCCTAATCAAGGATAAGGACTAATTTCTACCTAAGACATGCAGGCAGTTGTCACAGCATTACACCAAGCTACCTCACAAATATGGTCTCCCCAAAGTTCACAAAGATGGTATTCTACTCAGGCCAAGCTGCCAATGCTCTGTGTGCCACCCTCCGAGTTGTTTCCTTGTAGATATAATTGGCCCATTAATAAGAACGTCACCTACATAATTGTGAAACTCTGCTTACTTTATGGAAATAATCAAAGATGCTCCCATCAAATCAAACCAGATGCTGAGCCTGGACATGGTGAGTTTGTTCACCAAGGTACCCACAGAGGAGGCACTATTGGTAGTCAAGGACAGACTGGCCTGGCCCGGCCCATCCCTAAGAGAATAGACCAGTATACCAATTGATAACATGTTGTAGATGCTGACTTTCTGTACACAAACAACACACTTCAGAATGGGATCAGACATATATTGAGAGGATGAAGGCTTAGTAATGAGTTTGCCATTATCACCAGCAATAGCTAACATATACATAAAATACTTTGAAGAAATGTCATTAGAATCCACATTAATAAAGCCAACCCTATGGCTGATATACATAGATGACACCTTCATACTCTGGCCATACCAGGAAGAGGTCCAGCTATGACTGGATATTGTGAACTCAATAAGACCAATGCAGTTCACAATGGAGAGAGAAAATGGCAACAAACTTGCAAGCCAATATTCACTGGACAATACCTCAACTTCAACTCCCATACCCATTCAGTGTAAAGAAATCCTCCACTGTTTACTATATCGGGCAAAATTCAAAGTGGCGATCTAGAGACATATGAACAAGAAATAAACAGTACCCCACAAAGTAACAATTAGCCTGGATCCATGTCAGCAGCTCTGACAAACTGGAATAGAAGGGTACAAGAGGATAACAGCACTCAGAAAAAATACAAAGGATCGCTGTTCTATATAACATCAGGATGACCTTCAAAAGTGGTTCAGCACTTTGCAGACACCTCTTCTGTGTAAGACTCACCCATACAGGAGAATATAACTAAGAACTGTGTGTCCTTCATCCCGTGTAGCTGTGGTAAGAAATATAAAAGAGAAAAAGGCCGTCCCCTTATGGTAAGACTGCAAGAACATTATAAAACTGTAACATAAGGGGAAATAGAAAAAATCAGGCATAGCTGACCACATATGGAGAGAAAAGAGAGATCATTGCCCTCTGTGGGATGATGTTGAAATAATAGACAGAGAGCATCACTGGAAAATACAAAAACTTAAAGAATCAGCAAATATGCTAGGCCACAAAATCTAAGCTGGCCAAGCATAGAAATGAATACAATATGGGAACCAGTAATATGGAGTACAAGAGAAAAGCAATAATAATAACAAAAATTACAATATGAACTCTGGTAAAAAAAGATTGCTGAAACATTAAGTCTGTAATTTACAAAAATTCATTTACTGATGTCCTCAAGGACAAATGGTCAAGTGAATAAAAGCCTTTGTTGGATCCAATGACTTGATCCAAAGAGTTGTGAATTCAATTTATTACTGCAGTGGTGAACAAAAACTTGAAGAGTTGAGTTAAAGGGAGAGAACGGAGACTTCTGAAAGAGGTATGACATATGGAACTAGAACAATCTACCCTGGTGGCCAAAGTAAACGGTTCAGTTCAAAATTCCAATCACCTGAAACTTTGTGAATATAGCAACAAGAATGGGGACAACCGTATGAACAAATAAATCATGTGGATAATTACAATACCTCATCTCAGAAATATAGACAAATTTATTTTTTTTTTGAAAAGACACAGTCTCTCCTTGAAATAACAGAAATTATAACAACATTGCTTAACAAGTCAAATGCATCTGAAGCCTGATTAACCAATGAAAATAACACCGCACGAAAATAAAAAAAACAGATTTATTTTCTTCTTTTTTTTCTACATATCTTATTCTCTTAAGAAGCTTAAATAAAAGCAAAACATTTTAGATTGATAAATATTTCCTATTTATTCTTTATCTTATCATTCTGTCAGATTCTGATCAATATTTGATCCCAATTCATATATGCTTCTGAAAAATTTATTTTGGTTGTGCTCTCTAGGAAGGAAGTGTGAGTTTGTAAACGGTGACTATTACAGCTAATAATGCAAGACTCTTTGGTAAAGCAAATTGAGTTCTCTCAGTCACTGTGTGTTTATTAAAAAATAAATAAGCTTAAATTCACCTTCATCCCTGCTGTGCACCAATGACTTAGGAGTAGAATCTCCAACTGATGCGAATTCAGTCAGGTTTTGATCCCAGCTAGAGACAACCAGACGTCTAGCCACACTGATAAGTTGTGATACAGCAAAACAGTTATTTTTGTTAAAAATAACTTTCTAATCCCTGGCATAGTAGTGTCAATGTATACATAAATAAGTTTGTTTTATGGATACTGTGTTAGGATAATATAATTTCGGAGACATTTTCTCAATTTTCTCCAAGATAAAAACGGATAGCAATTATTTTGCTACTATTTGGTTGTTTCACAGATTTAGTCGAAAGTGGAATTCACAATCTTGACTCAAATGAATATGCCTGTTCAACCCAGTTCATGATGTGTCTCTGTCACGCATAGATCTTGGCCTTCAACTCATTCAGATTTGCCAATGTCTCGTGTGTTTGTAATTACTGCCTTACACATTTTCCCTCAGCAGAATTATTTGGATACTTCTCATTTTTATTTTGTATTGTTTTCATTTCAAATTTAATTACTTTGTGCCTGTAATCATTTGTTGAATACTTTGTTCTTTGCATTTACTCATGTGTATAGCTGAAACAAATTGTGGGCACCTCATCACAGCTAACAAACTTCTCTTTCAGATTATTATGAGTGAGTTCAGTCCACGAGGTTCTCAAGTCTTGTGGCTTTATGCCAAAGTAAACTATGCTGCTACTTGTTCAATATGCTATGTCCCTTTGGGAAGTGGGTGATCATGGCTCTCCACAATTTCCTACCCTATGTAGCTTTTAGAAAGTTTTCTTTTCTGCTATCTATCCTAATCCCTGTTTTGAGAACCATTTACACCGGCCACTTCTATATGCTGTATCCCTTCAGGATGTGGGAAATCATGGCTCTCCACAATTCCCTGTCCTTTCTATCTCTTAATAAATTTTGTCTTTTCTGCTATCTCTACTAATCCCTGTTCTGGCAAACATTTAGAAAAACTCATTATGTAGATTATGTTCTTGCTTTCCTCTGTACAATTTTGCCTTAAATATATCCTATGAGTATAAAATTTTCTAAACCTATTTCCTCATTTTGTGCACTAGGAATTTCAAATGTCTCTTTCTGCTGTTAAGTATAAGTTTCCTTTTTCTCTAAAACTTCCTTCTTGTTCACATGTACAGTCCATGGTATTCTCAGTAAATAAATTGTAGTAAAATATTTCTCGTTGCTTTGTTGTATGCTTTGCTAAAGGTGTTTTAGTAATTGGGGAAGAATGTTGCTATATCTATCATAACCAACCCTCTAATATAGCAGTGAATGATGGGCAATTTCCTCAAAGATGAAGAAAAGACTTAAACAACAGAAACCTGTTGAGAATGCCATGTCAGTAACAATTTTTAAGGAAAATGGTAACAAATGGACACACTTTGCATCAGAAAGAGAGAATTGAAACTTCTAGGGTACATAATAAGGAAATAAGTCTTTGAGAATTCGATACTCATGGGACATATTGAAATCAAGAGGGACAGAGGAAAGTAGTGAGCAACCTTCTTAATGATCTTGTGCAAATGATTGGCAGAACAGGGATTAGGAGTGACAGCAAAAAGAGAAACCTCATATTAATCTGTCATTATTTTCTGCTTAAGTTACATGTGCTATCCCTTAACATTATTAATACTGTTGGAAGTCCTTGATTGATGTGTCTTTTATTATTTGGCAGAATTCTTTGTTTATGATTCTTAGACAGATGTAAGAAAGACAGCCACTTTCTTACAGCTTTGTTTAATTGGAAATATCAGCAGTTTTATGCAAGTTGGTTTGGTTGATTTGGGTTTTGTGGCATATCAACATCTATGGGTTATTTAATACCAAAATCTAAATATTTTGAATGCAGTTGCATGCTGCCTTTAACTACAGACAATATATTGTTGGTCATTCTATTATAATATATGTTGATTTAATTGAGGGGAATGGGGAATGAATATTTATTACGTGCTGTGTACAACTATTGTGGCATAATGCTAAAGGGGAAGTTGGGTAAGGCTGGTCATCGCTAACTATCCTAGACCTAGTTAATCACTCACAACCCATTCATCCATTACAATTTGCTCATTCATCGCAAGAACTCCTCCATCACCATTCAATCCTACACCAGTTCCTATATGATCACCGAAATTAAGCAATGTTGAGCCTGGTCAGAAGCTAGATGAGTGACTGCTTGGGAATACCAGATGTTGCAAGCTTGAATGTAAAGGTGGTGTAATGTATAATGGCTTAGAATATTTAATCAGAGAGCTGAGTCTCAGTTCCATTGTGTTTGTTATATTTACTTATGCACAATTACCCTTGGTAAAGGTATGAATCCACCTATTCCCCCAGATATGGGTTAATTAGTAAAACTGGTAACACTAAAACCATTATTATCTCCAGATAGAAAAAAAATATTCTTACAATCTAAAAAAAAAAATAACATATTCACAGGCAACCTACAAAACACCCCATGGTTGAAAATGTCTGTTTTTGTTTTATTTTTTATTTTTTCTTATAAAAAATATATGAAAATTATTTCATGAACATGAAATGATGGAGAAGAGGATGAATCCAAAAAACAAAGTAAATTATAACAGATATTAGTAGGAATTGTTCACCCCTCAAAATAATAAGAGTGGCTGCTATATTCTGTCCATGAAGCACACTCACTAATGGAGTGGGAAGGAAAAAAATGAGGTAGGTTAAGTATCTCAACATAGATTATAACAAAAGAGTCCAGGAAACAACACTTACTTACATTAACTAGGTAAACAAATACTGTCTAACTTCACTTGAAAACAATACGTTGCATTAAAAGGGGACTTTAAAAAGAAGAGATTTAAAAATATCAAGAAAAAAATTAATAATAAAATTAGGTATGCAAATTATATGTAAATGTGTGCATTCATTTTTATTTAAATTAGTTTCATAAAAAGTGGGGATTAAGGGAAAGTAAAAATGAATGCAATCATTCATTGAGGTGGGTGTTGATTTCACTGAGGGTAAAGGGGGAGATGTATATTTATTTCTGATTAAATACAGAAATGTCAGCACAAGGCTGAAGTGAAAGTGGGGAAAGGCTGGTCTTCACTGACTGTTTTAGTTAATTACAATCATGACCCATTCATTCAATACAGTCACCACAAGAACATGTCCATCACTTCCCAATCCTACATGTACCACAATACCGCATATTCACAAGGGATTACAAAACACCCAATGATGAGTAAAAAAAAAAAAAATAATTTATGTCTTTAGGTAATAGGAGAATGACTGCAAAACTTTTCTCTCCTCCCCTTTTATAGGCAAAAGTCCACAAATGCATGTGATGGGATATTTTTCTGAGGCAATAAAATAGGTAGTTTACAATTTGACTTGACTCAATCCAGATCTACCTTATCTCAAAGACAGATGACTATGTTTGCTTTTGTGTGTAGACACCAATTCATAGTTTGTAAACTTTTTTGCTTTCTTACCTGTGAATTTGCTTTTGCGTATCTTTTGTGCTTGCTTGATATTATTTCCTTTTTGCTCCATTTTCTTTTTATTGCAAACATTGTCAGTTTTATTTGTTGGACAATTATTTATTTCTTTTTGCATTTGACCATGGCAACTAACTCATTAAAATATATTGGTAGTCATTTTTCTATGAAAATGTATTGCTGGCCATTTTTCCATGAAAATGTATTGCTGGCCCTTTTTTCCATGAAAATGTATTGCTGGCCCTTTTTTCCATGAAAATGTATTGCTGGCCCTTTTTTCCATGAAAATGTCTTTTTTTTTTTATATATACTTTCAGTGTTTTTTGTTTTTGTTTAGGGATTCACTATTTGCCCATAGTTGGGACTCTAACTCTATCACCCAAGTCATGGTGGAACCTGGGGACCACAGCAATTAAGAGGTGGTTCCATGCTCCTCAAAAGTGCCAATCTCCTGATCTGAGGTCTTGCTGCCAGATGTACTTTATTATTATACCCAAGACTAATGTAAGTAGACATTTATATGTCATATCAGCCTTAGTGAAAACTAACATTGTTCTGTAGAAACACATTTATACAATGTCAAGACTACCACAGACAAATATAATATTTAGCAAATTGGGAAAAGTGCTGAACTTCTATGTAATATCAATCCTCTTGTATGGCAGTGAATGCTGGACAAAATACTTATAAATTAAGAAGAAAACTTGAAGAACTGATGTGATTCCACAGAAGGATGTTAGGAATAACATGGATTAAACATATGAATGACAAGGAAGTTTAAAGATGAAAATGAAAAGGATACAAGTTTGATGTAACTGCACATGTTCACAAAGGGAAGGTGTTGATGAAATAATAAACTTTTAAATTTAATAATTTTTAAATGTGTGTTTGGGTGTATAGTTTACCTAGTTTCATTTAGTTTATATTTCAATCACTTTGTTTTCATTGGGTATATTATAAAAAAAAAATCAGGAAAAGACAGTTAAAATTTCTTGGAGGAAAGAAAGCTTGGAGAATTTGACACTCACTAGATGTAGCAAAGGCAAGAGAGACAGAAGTAAACAGCAAGTAACCTACTTGTTGAGTATGCAAAAATGAATGGCAGAAAAGGGACTAGTGGGGGATAATAAGAAAATAAACATTATAAATATATATAAAGGATAAGAAGATAGGAATAGCCATAATATCTCACATCCTGAAGGGACATGGCATAGAATAACTTCAGAAAAGTGACTAACATGCATCTATAAGATTAGATTGACACTGCAAGAATAAATTTAACTATAAAATATAAACACATAGAAGAGAAGGAAAAAAAAAAATCACCGTCAGGATTTAGATATGTTAGTGCATCAAAAGTATTTTTGTTTTATTGTTTTTGAAGTTTATACAATGCACTTGTTGAGCATATGGTATTTTAAAAAAAGTTTAAGTTCTTCTAGTGCTGCTAGTTGAATTCACCACCGCCAAAATCACTTTAACTGATAATGGGTGGTCATCAACTTTTGGGTTTTATTTCAACAGACAGATCATTCACTTTAAAATGATTAAACCATTTTGAGGAAGTATGGTCAATAAATCCATTCTGTTTCTGGGAAATTTACAAAGTCTCATCACTAGTTTTAAAGGCTTCAACTTACCAGAATCTCAATACTTGTATTTGCCTTAATAACATGGAACATCTTTATAACATCTGGAACAAAAGTTACAGCTGAATAGTTTTATAATTTTATGCTTTGTATATAATTGTTGTAACCTAGGGAAGGTTACTGAATAGAATAATCAAATGAAGGTTGGTAACGAACAATAATACTTAGGACAAGAACAACACGTATAAGATTTGCCTGCAGTGTGTAGAAGTAGTAGTCAACTGCTAGAAGTGAGTCAAGTGAATTCCACACTGAATCTCCAACTGCAGACCAACATACAATATTTACTACTGTATTTATCTGAATGGGGATATACCCATTATCATATGTAGGTATGCTACAACAATAATAACAGTATTAATGTCACTATATTATAGGTAGCTTTTAAATGTAAATATGAATTAAGCTTTGGAGTAAAGGGCTGTTGGAATAAATATACATTTGATACACCCCAATATATAAAAATAATATTAATATGGTGGAATCATAGATAGTCTTTATATGTAAACATGAAATAAGCTTTGGAGTAAAGGTCTAAAAAAAAAAAAAAAAATGAAAATACTTTTGATACACCCTTGTATGCATAAACAAGGTCAACCACAGTCATTGTAAACTCTATGATTATGTCAATGGCTGCATTGTATGAACTAGATACAATTTTGAATTCAAAGTCTCTTTCTCCTAGACTGGTTATGAAACAGAGCTAGAAAGCCCAGTCTGCCATGTTATGTCACCCATATCTGGTGGGAGGAGAGATAGATTCATACCTTTCTCAAGGTAGTTGCATGAAAGTGAATGTCACAAACTTGGTTGGAATTTGAAAGTCGGCTCACCAGTTTTTTATTCAGAGCTGCTAACCATGATCATTACAGTGATTCTATAATCTCAATTGTGATCGATCTATTATAATAAGCTTTGGAGTAAAGGACTGTAAAATGAAAATATTTTTTATACACTATTATATATAATAATAATAATAATAATAATATGGTGGGATCATAGACAATCTTTAGATGTGTACATGAAATAAGCTTTGGAGTAAAGGTCGATAAAAAATGAAAATACTTTGATACACCCTAATGCATAATAATAATATGGTGGAGCCATAGATAGTCTGTAGATATGTACATGATGTAAGCTTTAGAATAAATGTCTTTTAAATTGATGAAAATGCATTTGATCAGCAAAAAGACCTAATGTTTCAGGTCGGAAGTGTGTCATGTAAATCCTCTGAAATTTCAGTTCGGCAAAATATACAAACCATAACCTTACACAGATATTAGTTGAATTTTGTTTCTGAAATCTCACTGTATAAGTCTATGGGATCTATGGAGAAGTGTTGCGACAAGTGCATTGACGAGGAAGGAGATTATGTTGAAAATTATGCTTAGTGTTATCATCAGGCTGCAGACTTATTGATCTACCTAGAAAAATACGTTCACTATAAGGAAAAAAGCATATAATATTTATCCTCAGTCAGTTATGTGCCGTGCGTGATACATGCTTAGGCAATCACCTCTCTTTCAATACATGGCTGACAAGGCAGATTTTTTTCCCCCCACAGTAAGTTGCCATTTTTTCTGCAGTAGACCAGTTACCATCCAAGGCTACCCAAGAGTATTAGCATGTAAATGGATTGAATGGAATTTGAACTCTGCTCTGATTCCTCAATCCGAGCTGCTATCCACTACTACACTGCACCTCCTTCATTTATAAATACTATTTGAATTCAGAGTTTTCCATCTCCTAGACTAGTTGCCATCTGATGCTGTAGAACCTAGTCTGTTCTGCTACTTACTCATAGCTCGGTGGGGGAGAAGAGGATTCATGCCTTTCCCAAGGATATTAGCACGTAAGCGAATGTAACGGATTTTACTGTAAAGAAAAACAGACATACGTTTAAGTTACTAATGAATCTTAATTCAGTGTAATTTACCCGTAAGTAAGGTTTCACCTTTTCTTTTATAGCCAAGTAATTTGAGGGTAGACAAGTATCGTTACTTTCCACCACACCCCTTCTTCTATGTGTTGTGTCCTTTGAGGATGTTGGTGATCCTGTCTATCCACAATTTTCTATCCT